GTTTCACACCAGAATTTGTTAGAAATGGAGATCTAGAGCCTAAATGCTAACTGCAGCCTAGAACTGAAGTCCACAGTCTTCTCAATGTTTTAACTGATCACAAGTTTCATCAACACAGGGAAAGAGATCATGTAAACACATATGAATCTAGAACACATACACACCTAGGCATAATCCGTCTATATATTACTCGAACATATGCTTGCCTGAACCACTTCTTGAGTTAAGCATCTGGATGCATAAACAAGTCTTTGGAGACTTCAAGGTCCAAGCTATAGTCACTTTCCAGAATAGTGGGATGATGTGGGCTCTGGAGGGATCCTTTAGCATCTAAGTAAGGGTATAAATGAAGGAGTGTCAAAGTAGAGTACTTTAAAGCACTGCCATGGTAATGGTCTCTAATGTCTATTTTAAGGAGAGAACTAAGTACAAAGCTCCAAAGCCCTGACAGAATCCATGTTCTGCTTAAATGAAATATAAGTTTAAATATTAAAAAGCAATGCTTTCAAGATCAGTTTGACTATATCACCTCTCTTTTTAGTTTAAGTAGAACAACATTAATAATCACTATTTATTGGCTGTCCATTATTATTATCTATTCAAAAATACTGAGACTGATAACAAAGATTTAGAGCTTGCCATTGATTTTAGTTAGCAAAATGATTATTGATATTTTTTGTTATAGTATTTGTCATTGGAAGAACTCAGTTCAGCTTCCCACTTACTATAACTAAAACTTCTACATACTCAAATGAATCATGTTGCAGATTCTGGACTATACTTACTCTTTTCATATTGGTCCTGTCAATGTGGTTAATCGACGAATAACAGGATGATTTGTGATTTGTGATTGTGAATGTGGTTAATAAGTGCTTTATTAGTATTTCCCTGAGGATTAGAAACACACGTGCACAGAGAGCTGTTTGCTCAATGTTTACAGAATATCAGTGAATTACACATTTGTATAGTAAATACTTTGGTATGGACCCAAAAAATCATTAACCTAAGCACCTTTGGGAAAATAAATTTGAAAGAGAGAGACATATTTTTCACTTTACACACACACACACACACACACACACGCATACATGCACGTGTACACGTGTGTGTGTGTGTGTGTGTGTGTCATGTGCGCATGCGTCTGTGGGCCACGACTGGCAGTGCTCGGGGTTTACTTCTGGCTCTGTGCTCAGTGATCATTTTTTATGGTGCTCAGGGGACCATATAGCTTGGTAGGGATTGAACCAGGGTTGACCACATATAAGACAAGCACCTTACCCACTATCTTTCCAGTCCTTATATTTTCTTAATATTGCAAGAGCAGTCAAATTGTGGACCACTTGTTCTTTTTTATGTAGAAGTATAGAGAGATCAGTTATTTTTTAGTGTAAAAACACCTTTTGCATTTTTAAAACTTTCATAAAATTACTTGAATTTAAGGGCTGGAGCGATAGCACAGCAGGTAGGGCGTTCGCCTTACAAGCGGCCAACATGGCCGACCCGAGTTCGATTCCTCCGCCCCTCTCAGAGAGCCCGGCAGGCTACCGAGAGTATTGGATATGCCAGACACAGTAACAACAGTCTCCAATGGAGACGTTACTGGGCCCCCTCGAGCAAATCGACGATCAACGGGAGGGCCTTTACCTTTACCTTACCTTTTACTTGAATTTAAAAGGATATGCTCTCTGCCAACAGATAGTACTGGATGGAACCTGCAGACCTGACAATTTTCCTTCTTCAAGATAAGAAATGGTGTACATAATAGGAACCATTGGTAATAGCTTCCCTATTGTTTGTCTTCAATGTGAGAATAGTTATTTTTTTATGTAGGAGTACTGTTATTTATTCAGCCACTGATTAGGCTGATTGAATTGGGCATGAATTCCACCTTACTTTTTTTTCCATTTTTTATAATTTTATTTATTGAATCAACATGAGAGCAGTTACAAAGCTTTCAGGTTTAAGTCTCAGTCATACGATGAAACACCTGTTCCTTCGCCAGTGCCCATTCTCCAACCCCAAAAATCCCAGTATACCCCCATCCCACACCCTCCCCCTACCTGTGGAGCAGATGATTTCCACATCACTCTCTCTCTCTACTTTGATTACATTCAATATTTTGACACCAGACCCACCGTTATTATTTGGGATTTTACCCCAACACTCAGATCTGCCAAAAAGGCAACAGTAGACAATTTGTTTTCTATTGCTGGTTATGAATAACATATGATGTTGCATGGCTGCAGTAGTGACCACATGATTTTGAAATTCCAAAATTTTAACAACTAAATTTGGAGGAATTTCTTGCCAAAACCTGCTGGGTTCTGAGATTTGTTCCTGAGTCTCTGGGATCATGGCCATTAAGCAGCTTGATCAGTAGCCAGAGAGGCCGTTTGTGGGGCAGCAACTCAGGGTCGTTGGGATGGGGAGGAAAGGGCCAGCTCCACCCCCATCCCACGAGGCCCCACGTGTCTCGTCACTGCGGGCCCAAACCTGACTGTCCAAAGGCCTCTTGCAGATGGCAGCCACCAAGCCACCTAGGGGGAGCAGGAGGAGAGACAGAACCCTTTCCCTCCTCGGGTGGTCCAGCAACAGTAACCTACTGCATGGTCTGAACGCATATCTGCCAAAAGCTGCTGGGTTTTGAAATTTGTTTCTGAGTCTCTGGGATCATGGCCATTAAGCAGCTTGATGAGGAGCCAGAGAGGCCATTCGTGGGTGGCAACTCGGGGTCTCTTTGGGACGGGGAGGAAAGGACTGGCTGCACCCCCATCCTGTGAGGCCCTGTGTGTCTCATCACTGCAGGCCCAAACCTGACTGTCCCGTGGCTTCTGGAGGATGACAGCCACCGGGCCGCCAGGGTGAACAGGCCAAGGCACAAAATCTAATCTCACCTGAAGTGGCCCCGCACCAGTTGCCTACTGCAGGAACTGGATGCATTTCTGCCAAAAGCCGCTAGGTTCCTAGATTTGTTTCTGGGTCTCTGGGATCATGGCCGTTAAGTAGTTCAACCAGTGTAGAAACCAGAGTGGTCATCCCTCCAATCAAATAGCTGAGCCGGAGGTGGTTTGTGGGTATGTCTCCCACATACCTAACTTCTGGCCGTTTACTTTCTTGGTAAACTTTTCCCCAAGTTCTTGGTTCTGGCAAAGGCACAGCAACAATTTTGGGGTATCTGGAAGTCTGAAGGCGCCATCAGGCTGCTGATGCACTCACCTCACAGGTACAGACTGACCTGCTTGCGGCACCATACCCCCAGAGAATTGTTTCTTATGTGTAGCATTAGAATTTTAATTACTATCAGGTTTTATTTGTATTTCCTTATTTTTGTGTAACTCTTTTATTAGCAACTATGTACATACATCACAATTTTTTCAATAATGAGACATGACCTGCCTGGGTTCAATATCTCCGCTCCTCTCAGAGAGCCTAGCAAGCTACCAAGATTATCTCACCTGCATGGCAAAGCCTGGCAAGCTCCCCGTGACATATTCAATATGCCCAAAACAGTAACAAGTGTCACAATTTTTTGTAAGACGTTACTGGTGCTCACTCAAGCGAATCGATGAATAACGGGAGGACAGTGCTAAAAAATGCTCTCAAAACTGGAACAGATTTTAACTAATTTACTTTAACAATTGCTTGTAAAAGATGAGATCTGACATATTAGTTGAATGCATTTCTGTTATGTCATCTGAATTTTTTAAACGTAATTCTAGCACACCTATAAGCTCAGTTGCTATGGGTTTACAATGCTGGCATCATGGATGACTGCCCCTCTGAGCCCACACATCCTACTCCCATATGCGGGAAACAAAGCACGCTATTGTTTTCACTAGACACTGGGAGTCAGTAATTTGATCTAGAACTAGAGACAGGAAGTAGACAGGAGGAGAGCACAGACTACAAGGGCAGAATTTAAATTTTACTCAGAAGGGAACTGACAGGGAGCACTTCTGGAGGGTGGATTGTCCTGAGCAAGAAATCATAACTCCTTGTTTTCTTTTTCCCCTGGTTTCAGATCCCAGGAGAGTAGTAGTTTGGCATTTTCTCTTCTCTTTATTCCTGCCTACCTGAGCCTCCTAGCTGTGAAAGCCCTTCCAGGCAAGAAGCAACAAGTTGCAAGTTGGGGCTGCTTCAAGTCTTCCTGGGAAGGGTGGTGCAAGTGGGAGGAAGGCACATGGCACCTGAATCTCTTTCCTGGACTTCAGTTGATACCTTCGGGTTTGCTTTAAATAGAATCTGATCTCTGTGAGGAAACTGGCCTGAGGCTTGTCCAGCCCTCCTCTGTGCTGGGCTCTCTCCAGTTGAATGCTTGAAAGCCAAGCTCTGGGTCCCTGGCATACTGCCCACCTTGGATTTTTTCTTTTTATTGCCCTAAGGGCTGTGTATTGTTAGTCAAGTCACTGGGCAACCAAGAACCTTCAAAGAAAAACTCATGTGCTACTATTTGTGTATTCCAGTCAAAGATGTAGAGAAAGAAGGGCACTAACTCAGGCAAACATATTATTCTAGTATTCCTACGGACCTCTGACATCTATTTTTCTCTCCCTTCTAAGAAGTTCTAGTGGAATATTCTTCAAGCAAGTAGCTGCCCCCTCACTTTATACTCAAATGGGAACTCATACATGTCTCAATGCCTTTTCTCCAAATGAACATTTCAATAAGAGACCTGTCACTGTGAACAGGTGTGACAGGAGTTACCCTATTCCTGTTCTTGTTTCTATTGCTGCTGGTGGTTCAGGCCATAGAGACTAGCCAGGTGGGAACCGCTCTTGTTTCTGTCAAGAAAGATTCTAAACGAGAGCGATTTTTTTGCATTGAGTCCCTGGATTTTGTGGTTTCAGAGACTTGTAGGAAAGAAACCATTTCTTTCTGTTTCCTCTCTAGGCTATGAAAGCTCTTTATTTTATTTTAATCTTCCAAACTGCCTTCAGGAGTTGCTACACCTTCAGATTGAGACATCCTTCCTCATTTGCAAACCTCAGCTGTGTCTGGGGGCAGGGCACAGTGGAGCTGCCAGGAGTAGAAACGCTTCTAAATAGCCCTGCAACAGACATGGGGAAAACAGTGACAGATCAATCTGGGATATTACAGGCTCCAGGAATCTCCTTCCCCAAGAGAAATTGAAGACCAAAGCTGATCTTTATTTGCCTTGGTAAATAGCGCATGGTTTGGCACCCAAATCACCTCTGAGAACAGGTATGATTGAACTCGGTCTTCTCTTACCTGAAGAGTTTGTGGACTCCAGTCTATGGTTTTGGGGTGGGGGTTGGGAACATCCATTGGAAAAATCCAATCACATATATTATACTCGCGGGCTGTGTGCGATGAGGATAGTCCATTGGGCTTTGGAATAGGATTGATTTAGTAATGCAATGGATCTGATTGTGCCTTGGCAGTTTCCTTTTCCCAATATAATTTGGCCTTAGTTTTATCATAAAATTATTTTACAGTCCCTAAGATGATCTCTAGATCATACAGAGGACAAGAGTGGGTACTGTCAGGGTGGTGAGGAAGGAAGGGCTCTGGCTGGATCTTGGAAATGTTTTCTAAGTGATTTACAAGCCAGTCCAAAGATAGGTGATCACTTATTACATGATAGCCCTTTTGTAACACCTTTCAAAAGCTGAATGCATCATGCTTGCTTAGAATACTGATCACTTAATTCCATTTGCATGCTTTTAGTTGCTTTTCTCTCTGAATGTAGTCCAAGAAGAGATATGGCAAGTATTTTTAATTGATTTTATTTAAAGCATAATCTTGCTCAATATTATTCCAAATTATTTTTTCAATATTCCTAAAACCTAGTTAGCTTCACTACTCTACATTTCACCAGTGACTTCATATTTTGAGTTTTGACTGTGGTAATTTCCTCAGAAGCAAGCAAGAATGTTCTTTGTTTAATTTAGCAAGTATTTGTACAAAATTTTGTTCTTTAAACAGATAGAGAGTTGACTATGAAACTACTCAAGAGACTGGAGGGGGATCAGTTCTTCTAAAAGTTTTATAGAATCTATTGTTCATATGAGGATATATAGATGAATTATTAGTTTAGCCATTTATTAAAGTTTTTAAAAATATCTTCTAAATTGAAGGACCTTAGAAGTGCAATGAGTATGCATACATTCAAGCTATATTGAGTTTCAGATATTACAAATACAGTCTTGTCAACATGCTATATTACATAGACACAGAAAGATTGCATTCATCTGGGGAACATAAAGCAACAAAAAGTGAGAGTGACACACAGGAATGGCTGAGATTAGTACCAGGAATTTTGCTCCATGAATGGAAGGCCAGCCACAGGCTCTAGGTGAAAAGGAAGCTCAGATAGAGAAGAGAGTACCAAATGAAGGGTGTTGTGAGGGCCCTCCCAGGGTGGGAGAAGCATGCTAAAAGTAGTCGATAGACCAAACATGATTGCCACTCAAAGCCTCTCTTGCAAAACACAGTACCCAAAAGAAGAGAGAGAGAACAAGGGGGAATACCCTGCCACAGAGGCAGGATGGGACGGGGGGGGGGGGGGGGTTGAGGGGGGGGGGATGCTGGGACCCATGGGGATGGATGACGGGCACTGGTGGAGGTATGGGGACTTGATCATTGTATAACTGAAACCCAAGCACAAAATTTGTAAGCCTATAACTGTACCTCATGGTTTTTCACTAATAAAAAAAAAAGAAAAAAAAAAGAAAAAAAAAACATGCTATATTACTATTATAGTATATTTCCTTGCTAAGTGGAAATTAATTAATTTTTTCTTTGAAGGAAAAATTATTAAAAATAGTAATATTTTAAATCTTTATGGTATAATGTCTGGAAAACTTTTTCTAATATTCACTGTCCAAAGAATAAATGTTATTTGGCATGGCCAATTAACATTTTTGAGATTTATTCTTTTAGTAATGTATTTTTGGTATATAAAAATTATGACTAGAAAAATATCCAGACTTAGATTCTTCACATTATAGTATTGTGCAGTGATCCTATTTCCTCCATTTTCCTCTTAATTTCTTTCCAGGCACAAAATCATCTGTAAAATGGAATTGATGGCACCAATCTAACAGAGTTTTCTGTAGAACAAGATTAATGTGATAAAAAGCATCTGCTAAGTGGCAAGAATATAAATGCTGAATATAAATATAAAGGAGGGATCAAAAATAGTAGAATATTGTGTTACATGATAGCAGTTTTGATTATTTGACTGGAAGAAGAGAATACAAATTCACAGATACTAATTTGAGGAGTTTGAGGAGGACTAGTATTGGGGTATTTGGGAGAAAGATTGCGTACAGTGGTGATGGGTATAGTGTTGGAATTATGTGTATGAGAAATCAGATAAATAGTATTATAAACCATGAAATATCAATCAGTTAAAAACATTTTTAAAAAGAAAAAAAACAGATACTGATATTTAATACCACAAACCCATTCTACTATTGTTCCCACTGCAAAAAAAAAAAAATCCTTCTAGATCTGTTGCACAGTTGTAACTGTAAGGATGTATACATCATTTGTTTAGCACAGCACTTATTGTCTAAAATTTCTTATTTTAAAATTAGTGAATCACTTTGAGGTACAGTTACAAAATTACAAACTTCCATGCTTGCATTTCAGTCATGCAATGATTGAGTATCCATCCCTCCACCAGTGCCCATTCTCCACCATCAATGATCCCAGTATTCCTCGCACCACCCCTCCTACCCCTGCCCCCACCTCTGTGGTAGGGCATTCCCTTTTGTTCTTTCTTTCCTTTTGGGTGTTGTAGTTTGCAATAGAGGCATTGAGTGGCCATTGTGTTTGATCTATAGTCTACATTTGGCACTCATCTCCCAATCCAAGTGGGTGCTCCAAACGCCCTTTACTTCGTGTTCCCTTCTCTATCTGAGATGTCTTTTCCCCAAGTATGTGAGGCCGGCTTTCAAGCCGTGGAGTAAACCTCCTGGTCCTTATCTCTACTATTCGTAGGTCTTAGACTCCCATTCTGTTACTTTATATTCCACAGAAGAGTGCAATCTTTCTATGTCTGTCCCTCTCTTTCTATTGTCTAAAATTTCTGTGAGAAAAACAAAGGATTCTTTCCTCTGGATCCTGATTCAGGATTTATTTACTTTTGGTCACTATGTTTCTATCCACAGGGTATGAAGTGCTCCCACTAGAACAGAGTTTCTAACTTTGATAAGTCAAACCACATTGGCAGCTCAGAGAACAGCAGAAGCCAGAGTCCACTTGATTGCTAGCACTCTTAGAGTTAAGGTCAGATCCAGTCTGCTGACAGTCAACTAACACTGATTTGTCACAGCAGGTAACTGACAAGATTTACCCCAAGGACCAGAAAAATGCACTGTGCCATACAAAAGGCAGAAGTTGTTGATGGGGCTCATTTGATGCGAATCATCTGGGACGATGGTGTGGAGTCTCTGTACCCCTCCGTCTGGCTGAGAGACAATTGTCAGTGCCCAGACTGCTATCTAGACTCTGCAAAAGCGCGGAAACTTCTCGTTGAAGCTCTTGATGTGAACATTGGTATTAAGGACTTGACCTTTGACAGAAACCAGGTAATTATCTCTGAATGAACACTTCCTTCTTCTGATTTAAGTAAAAGGGCAATTCTTAATAATGAAAATAATCCATGAATTTCTATTCAATTACATATAAAACTATGTTTGTATAGTACTTATGAAAAGTAAATTATTCAATAAATGGAAGCTTCCTTATCATTACAATTTTTACTACTACTACTATGTTTTAAATAAGTTTCAACTTTTCCAATATTCCTTCATTAAGTGGCAGCTTTGAAGACATAAACTATTTCTGTCATAGAAGAAATTCATCTAATCCTCAATTTAGTTATCTGTAAAATAGGAATACTGACAGAATTTGATCGTAGAAATAATGGAATGATAAAATGAGATAATATGGGTTGAAATGTTTAATATAGTGCCTGGCATAAAATCAGTGCACTCAAAAACTTGCGTTGATTAACATTACTTGTGGTCAGATTACTGAGCAGATGTTTATTTGGAGGTGTTTATCAGGTTTATTTGGAGATTCCCAAAAGCATAGCTGTTAAAACCACAAAATCAGTATGACTGTTACCCTATGTTTTTCTCATCCAAGTTTAGAAGGACCATGTTCAGAAGATTAAATGCAAACAGAAAGATCATTTCCCATTCTGTTTTCTGTTGTTTCTTTGTTGGTTTGTTTTTTTCAATGGAGTATGGGCCACACCTGATTTTGCTTAGGGCTTACGCCAAGCTCTGTCCACAGAGATCACTCCTGGAAGGGTTCAAGGGACTCTCTCAGGTGCCAGGGATTGAACCCAAGAGAATGCATGCAAGACAAGTGCCCCTATCTACTATGCTATTGCTTTAGCTCATCTCCACTCTTCGTCTTGGCTTGAGAACTCACTCTCAGGATTTATTGCTTACCAGAAATGTACCCTAAGATTTGTTGTTTTTCTCTTGTAGTCCCTACATTTCAAATGTGAATGTTAGTAGTATTTTCTACTTAGAATTATATGAGGAAAAAGTGAGTTATGTATATGGTGTTATTTACCTAATATACATTCAAGTGGTAGTGTTTTTAATACTGTCATTTTTCTGCCTCATCATCATTATTATATTAATACTTTTGACAGGAATTTAGATTGACATCTAATTTCAAATCGTCAAAAAGTTCGGCAAATCCAAATTTAGCAGTCATAAAATAAGAACTTCAGATGTCTTAAGGGTTTTAATTTCATATGTGGCATTTAAGGGGCGTAAGACCTCAAATGTATCATTTTGACTTTACATTTTCTAGTTTTTCAAAAATTTAATCTATCACTGTGAGTACATCGTTTAAAAGGGGGTGAGACAGTGCTAGTTGGAATAGTTATTATTTTTAAATAGCATTTGGAAGCATGGCAATAGAAGAACTACAAGTATACTGTAGTATAATTTACAAATAGATAATATTTGCTTTCTGTGTTACAAGGTTCATATCACATGGCCAAATGAACACTATAGTGAATTTGAAGCTGACTGGCTGAAGAAAAGATGCTTTTCACAGAAGGCCAGAGAAAAACTTCAAAAAGAATTGTTTTTGCCAGGTAACGCTGACATTGTCTTCAGTATCTTTTTAAATCCTAATAGTAAGAAAATCACTTAGAAGCAAATTCACTCCCCTGTGCTTTGAATAAATATTATTGTGACTCATGCAAAATGTTCAAAGATTTAACAACACTGATCATTTAAGTAGAGATGAAGCTAAGTATAGATAATTGGGACATCATAAAGAGGTGGAGGAAAGTAGTATATTAAATTTTTATCTTAATCTCATTGCAAAACCTGACATTTATGGAAGGTAATCCCATAAGTGTTTACTACAAAGGTACAACACAATAAACTACAGGTTGACTGGCCCTTCTTAAAAATTGTAACTAAGGTCAGAAACAGAAACTTAATAAAGTAGGAATTAGCATGGCATCAGATATAAAAGTATGTGTCCGATGAATGCACTGAAAAGAAATACACACATTGAGAGATTGAGAGTACATGACTGTGTGAGTGTGTGTGTGTTTGTGTGTTTGTGTGTGTGTGTATGACCACATGTGGCCACAAACACATTGGTTTGGAAAAAGTTCACATGAATCTTGAAATTTGTGACCAAAAATTTTTTACAAAGTCTTCAAAGGTGAGTTGAATAAGAATAAAAGTGTTCTCTTGAGCCAAGAGACCAGTTACTTAATACAAATAGAAATGTAATTTTTAAGTGTGACTTTTAGGAGAAACACTTTAATAAAATTAAAGCAGTGGGAAGAAGTGGGAAGGGTCAGTAATTGACTTACAGCATGTTTTGAAATTTTGTTACGAAAGATTATGCTGATCAAAGGCAAATTCTTTCAAAAAAGATAATTTGTCTTTGCCAGAGTCTTGACGTTTACAAACACATGAGCAAGGGCAAGTTTTTTTTGAACTTTCTTTGCTGAAGTCCTTTGAACAGCTGGGTAGCCTGCTAATTTTGTAATACCTCTTAGGAGCCTTCTGGGTCATGTGTCAAGATAAAGATTTCTCGTCACTCCTTTCAAACTTGAAATTCTCTAGGATGAGTGATAATTCTTTGTGATTTTAAATAATAGACTTTTAACAGTTTACTGTGCTAGAGATATTTCTAGTACATTAACTTACCTGTAAACCTTCAACCTGTCCAATAATTATCAATAGTGTATGCTATTGTTTCTTCTTTTCCATGTAGGACAGTAAACAATGTTTCTTCAGTTCCCTACTCTCATAATAACTCTTACAGCTGACACAGTTTTGCTCTACTGTTTTCTTTCTGAAACACTTTGAATACATTTTCAGTTTTATCTAGCCCAGCTACCTAGTGGAATCCAGATGAGTGTCCATGGGGAAATGTTTTTCTGCCTCTAGCAGTAAGTGCATTGCTAGATTTTTCAAGGAATCTCCACTTACATAACTGGCTACCAATTGTCTGGGTCAAATAATACGGTTTTGGAAAAAAATAGAATTTTAAAAAAATTTATATTAGATTTCTTCTGGCACTCAAAATACTATTTTCTTAACTTTGCCTTAATTTGGTAATCTTTTTTGGATTTTACTTTGATTTCCTTCAGGGTTTTATCTTGATTATTCCAGGAAATAAAACCCATTTTTCTAATGATTATAGCTTAAGCTTTTAAGCATTGTAAGTTAATATAGTCACTCCTTCCATTAATATTTTTTGAGGAGCAAAATTTTATAGCTTATGATCTTAATATTATCAGGAAGTAGCAAGATGAAAATGATACTATAATCAAATAAGTGGTGGGAAATACTAGTCACACTGAGAGACTGTGATCATGAATGTAAAGAACTGACTGCTACTTAGACACTAGAAAATATTTTAATGGTTTAAGGAAGGAATGTATTTTTTATATAGGAGTACTGCATTTATTCAGCCTCTGATTAAGCAGATGGAAGAAGACATGAACTCTGCATTAAATTTTTTAAATTATTTTTAAAATGCTTTTTTTCATAAAGTTGTTCACAATTGTTTATATTCAATATTTTAATGCCCGTCTCACCACCATTGTGCCTTCCTACCACTATTACTTTGAATCTTCCCACTACTACCACCCCTTAGTCATATGCTAAATAATTTATTTTATATTGCTTGCCATGAGTAGTATGAGGTATTAAATGGCCGTGAAAGTGTCCATGTGCTTCTAGACATATTTAAAATTTTTAAATATTTGGAGTCTGGAGGTACATCTGTGATGTGCTGCTCTCTTCCAAGATTAATTTGTGATTCTCTGAATCATGGCCATTAATGTGCTTATATGGTACCCAGAGGCAGTTCTTGAGCATGGCTGTGAGAAAACAGGAAGGGCAGGGAGATGGAAGGAGGTCACCCATCCCCAACTCTGTGAAGCCTGGAGTTTTCAGTCACTATTCCCACATACCTGGGTTTTTCAGAGGGTTCATTCTCATGAAGGTCGGCCATGAGCATGGTGGCAACTAGGTTCTGGAGGTTTACAGCTTCTGTGATTCATTTGGGAAAGGTAGAGGGACACACATGCCCCCCCCCCAACACACACACAAGGTGCCCTGGTGAAATCAGCCTGGCATAGGGTGGAAAGACATCTCTGCTGTGTGCTGCTCTCCTCCGAGATTCATTTGTGAGTCTCTTAATCACGGCCACTAATGTATTTACACGACCTGCTTTTGATCTCTAATAAATAAATATTTGATCTCTAGTAAATAAATCTTTGATCTAATAAATAACCTATCTAATAAATATCTAATAATATCTATCTAATAAATAATCTAATAAATAATCTAAAAATCTTTGATCTAAATAATCTAAAAATATTTGATCTAATAAATAAATATTTGATCTCTAATAAATAAATCTCGAGATTTATTTATGGGTCTCTGAAGCAAGGCAGATACATGAGCTTGTATAGCTGAGCTGGAGGTGGTTTGTGGGAGTGACTCTCATATACCTAACTTTAGGCTCTTTAATATCTTGGGAAACTTGCTCCCAAGTTGTTGAGTTCCAGCCAGAGGCTCAGCGGCAAATTTGGGGGTACCAGGAACCCTGAAGGCACCATCAAGCTGCTGATGCACTAGCCTCACAGGTACAGGTTGACCTGTTGGCGGCACTGTGCTCCCAAGAGGAAAGTATATTAACAATATGCTCTCAAGTAGTACAGTTGGTAAGTTAAGGAAGAAATTAATGAGTTGTGGTTTGAATCCTAATTCCATAGCCTTTTGTCTGTCTAATATGGTAGGTTATTTCACTGCTACTACAAATTTTTTTGCATTAATGCTACCAGAGCATGTAAAAAAACTGAGTTATGCTTATGAAAAGAATTTTTTCCTCAGTAGTATAGTTTTATCTTCTGCTTTTTTTCTCTTCCTTAAAGTGAGAACTGAGACTTTTAAACTCTAATATCAAGATGCAGAACATGTTTCCTTCATCTCCTCCTGGCACTAAATGTTTAATTCAAAAATGAAAAGAAATATAATTCTTAAATAAATCACTTTCATGCCCTCGGGACATTCACATATGGAAGAAAGACATGGAAAAAAACTCATTCCCTCAAAAATTTTTATTCAATCATACATACATGGACACCTATTTTATGGTAGAAACTCTTCAAGAAAATATTAAATTTAAAATCACACGGATTCTTTGAGTGCTTATCAAGTTTAGAAAGGGATATTATCCATGAAACAAATAGTTAAAATAGACTGTGAGAATTAAAACAAGAGTGGAAGGTTTGTGATAAAGAAAGGAATTTGGAGCGAGAAAATATTTCTTAGAAGGGTGCTGTTTGAGAATGATTTTAAAGAATTATTTGGGTCAGGCAAAGATAAGAAAGTAAGAAAATTCTTGACAGAGAAAAGGAGATTGTCTGGCAATGTTGCAAGTGTAGAATCACAGGAAAGATTTAGGAAACTACAATAAGGATAAAGTCAAAATTATTAAGGAAAAAATAGGAGGTACAGTGAAGAAGTGGTTCTGGGGCTCTCCTTAAAGGTTCACATCTAAATGCTTAAGCAAGAAAGCATTTTTTCAATATATAGCTCAGGTTTACTTTACCCTTCCCTTTCTTCCCCAACCTTGTATTTCCTCTTGTGAATCCAATAAAATGAGCATAGAAGGGGCTAGGACTTTTCTACGAAAGACTGAGATGATAACATTTTGAAAGTAGTAGAGAGGAAGAGGATAGAATTTGTATGCCAACTGACCTAGAGACAAGGTTTTGCTGGCAATGTTCTATTATCTCCAGATGAAAACCTGATTTCTGAAGTCCAGCTTTTGAACATTTCTAAACACGTGATGAAAACTGACAACTTTCATATAACATTAAAAATATAAAGATTTTTAACTAAAATGTATTTTGCCTTCAAGGTGAAATTTTGACATAATTACACACTAGTTTCTGTGCTTAATATAAAGATGGAAACTTTAAGATGAAAAAAAAATCAGTATATACTGTTATTATATAAATGTATGGAGTGATAGCTCAGCAGGTAGGGCATTTGCCTTGCATGCAGCCAACCCAGGTTCGATTCCTCCACCCCTCTCTGAGAGCCCGGCAAGCTACCAAGAGTATTTCACGCGCATGGCAAAGCCTGGCAAGCTACCCATGACGTATTTGATATGCCAAACACAGTAACAAGTGTCACAAAGGAGACATTACTGGGACTGCTCGAGCAAATTGGTGAACAACGGGAGGACAGTGACAGTGATATGAATGTATATACATGCCTAAATGGTTTCCCTCTTTATACTCAGTATAAAGAGTGCTTGTTTTCCTATCTCTTTGAATTGATAATGAAACATTTGTATATTATGCTCTGACCTTCGTGATATTTGTTATTGCTAAAAGATGTTAAAGGTCATAGTTAGAGTGGGGAGTAATTTTCCAGAGCCAGAGAAAGTCAGAAAGCTGGGTGTAAACTTTGCAAGTGGGAGACCAAGGTTCTCCCCAGTAACTGCATGCTTCTCTAAAGCACTGCTCAAAGTGAACCCTGAGCTCAGAATTGGAAGTGGCCCATGAGTATTTCCAGGTATAGTTCCCCGAAAACCAAAGCATAC